TTATTATTATTATTATTATTATTATTATTATTATTATTATTATTATTATTATTATTATTATTATTATTATTATTATTATTATTATTATTATTATTATTATTTTATTATTATTATTATTATTATTATTATTATTATTATTATTATTATTATTATTATTATTATTATTATTATTATTATTATTATTATTATTATTATTATTATTATTATTATTATTATTATTATTATTATTATTATTATTATTATTATTATTATTATTATTATTATTATTATTATTATTATTATTATTATTATTATTATTATTATTATTATTATTATTATTATTATTATTATTATTATTATTATTATTGTTATTATTATTATTATTATAAATATGATTATAATTATAATTATAATAGCTATAATTATAATAATTATAATTATAATTATAATTATTCAAGCTGTGTACAATTAAACCCATAGACATCACTGAACAGATAGCAACCTATGTTTGTTTTGGCGCTACAGCGTATATTTCATGGAGATGCCACAATTTAAGTTTTTGTAGAGCAATAAAAATGAATGATGACAGATCTATATTGGTGTTACAAATAATAAAGTCAGGAAGCTTTCCTTCTCATTCGTCATTATAAAGTATTAACAATGAGTATTGAATTCAAAGCGTTCCTAAAGACGGAGTTTATTTTACAATTTGGTAGTTTCAATATAAATTAGCTAACCGTCATCAGTTTCTTGAATAATAATAATAAATAACATTATCGAAGGTCAACTACAATTTGCGCTTTTAAATATCCATCCATCCAATTTGAATGTCCATTTCGCAGATGCTTCACAACTCCATAGAACAATATCTTTTTGTTTTTATTAAAGAAATGAAACGAACCAATGACATAAAGAAAACCTACTGTGACATATAAATCTAATTTTTTCCAATGATAATAATCGAAAAGTCGACTGGTTTCGCCCTCTTGCATTGTTGTTTATGGTACCACGCCGTACCGCTGATTTCCCATCCATAAAACAGCAACAACAAGTGGGCAGGATGTAAACAACAGTCATTCATTTCATTTTAAAAATTACAACAAGCCTTGCCTAGTTTTAAGCGAAGGGAAAAGTTTGAACAATTGAAATGTTGCAAATCCTATTCGGCAAATCAAAATGATAAAATTCTCAATTGAATTATCCGAAATTTTTTGAATTGTCCGAAAGATATCCGAGCTGAGAACAAACAGGGAAGACGAATGTTGTTGTTGTTATTGCTATTACTTCTGCTTGTGTGCCAGGGGTGCCATCTGATGCTCCTCGGTTGCTTGCCATTCAGAGCCACTCTTCAACCAGACACCTCCACACATCCATATACATTCTAATTGATATACTGGCAAGGCTTTTGCGTTACTACTGAAAATTTTCGATAAAAATGAAAATTATACTTTGGCACTGATCCATCAGCATTGATAGTGATGACGACGATAATATACTAGAATGTACTAGAGTTTGAGCCGGTATTAGCTTACAGCTTATGATACTGGCTTATTTTTAATATACATAATGAGGTCAGACAGGACCCGATTCAGTAAACTGTTGACAATCATACCACTCTATACAACAACCCCAATGAGAAAACAGCTCCTGAAAGCCTAACCTTACCTAATCCACTGAAATGATATACTCGTGTAAGGAACTTATTTTCATCTCTTTCCTATCTTGTTCCAAATTTTCACTTCCTATCAACATCGCCTCGATGACGAATACAGTGTTCTCTATTATCACTGTCAATCCCCGACCGTGTCTAATCCTACTCAAATGTCAGTTACCTATCAGTTTTGCCTCAAGCTCTTGTTAGTTACTTCACTTTTCAACCCGTGAAAATTCACGTTTACGTATTTGTAGTCACTTCTTTTGCCTATCAGCTAGCAATTCGGCCCAAAACCTATTCGTTTTTGAAATTATCAAGATAATATTGATATGAAGGCATGTAGTCGCAATTATAGATTTTAAAATAATGCGTCCTTTTTAACAATTAATTTCGATGAATTAAAGGCTAAACAAAATGAAAAAAAAACAATAAAAATGTCGGACATTTGCTTCAATAGTGATAGCAGAATGATTTCAAATCTCTTCAAATATGTTTAACAAAATTTTACAATTTGACTGAACCAATTATTGCATGGACTTCTTAATCAGTACTGGAAAGTATTCTGGGTTGGTGGAGTCTAGCAAACTTCATAAATCCCTAAAGTCATGAAACTTTTGCCGTATTTCTCATTTCCTATTCTATTTCTATTCCTAGAAATCTAGTATTTCTCCTAAGCCTAAAATGATTCAAATGAAAATACTTTGTAGAGACCTTGTCGGATTATCGAAATCAATATTACGTTCAAATAAAACTTATAATATCGATCAGATAGGGTGATGTCCTGTAAAATTAAGGCGATAGAGAAGATATAAGTTAACAATAGGGGAGAAGGGGGAATGTTACAGAGAGATTTCGATACTTTTTCAGGGTTGCAGCACAGACCATGAAGCTCCTCTTCTCATTATATATATTTATGTAAAAAAAAAGGCCCACAGGATTAGTTTTTTACAATCAAACACGCATTACACCGTCCCCTACGCTTATCCACCATTATTTTGATCACCAACTGCATTGCCCATTTCTTTACAATTACACATCTTCCTCGCAGCATATTCTCACTCAACGAAGAACGAACCTTTACATCTGTTATTAAGAAATCTATTATCAAAGCGCTAATCAACTACTACTCAAGGCAGTGACAAAGGATTTATTTAAAGTTGATCATACTGATTGTTTATTGTACAACACATTTTTTCACTGTTTACCAATTTGTCATGTGCATTATCCTTCTTACTGTTGTTAACAAGCAGTGAGTACAACTAATGAACCTATATCGCCGACAAATGAATCACTAAATTAGTTTTCCCGATAGGTCTGCTATAAACAGTACCTCAGTAGTTACATAAACTGGACTGGAGATGCTTACTCGCGTCAGCTTGAACTAGATTAAAACCAAGAACAATTGTCCGTTCACTTCAGTGTAGTCTTCAGTGCGCACATAAAGGATATCAAATTGGCTTCTAGTTTTCTTCCATCAGAAGCACATTATACCATTTACTATATATAAATTCGTTTGCCCCCCAAATATCTGTGCAGTACGTAAATACAATTACTGCTCAACAAAAATACTAGATTGAAATCCAAAATTCAGAATCCCCTACTTGAATAGACGTATCATCTGTAGCGAATTTCTCATGTTTCAGCACTTTTCACCGTCCCACTTGCTGAATCCGCACTTATTTTTAAACCTTAACGTTTCTGTAGAATATGGTTTAGGAGTCAGATTGTATGCCGCAGATGTCAAATTTTATAACAAATAAACAAATAACATCTATCATGTCTTACAAAATGGCACGAATCAATCTATCGATTCGCAAAAGAATCTGTTTTGGGGGTGCTAGATAAAATGAACTTTTATGACACCGCTCTCTCCTTTTGCAATTTCGACGTTGGTGGCAATTCTTCCGGTATCTGAAATATCAAGAAGTATTTCTGTAGCAGAAGGTACGAATCAACAAATTTGATAAATATAATAGTTGGAATGAAATCTTCGAAACAAAAGAAAAAAAGCCTTTTGAGCTTTGGAAATTTGAACTATTCTTGGAAATAAGCTCCTCTCAATTATCCCCCCCATAAACGAAATTATTCAAGAATTAAATCATGAAGCCCACTAACTATAATAACTAGTCTTATTAATCTATCAATAATAAAATTGAAGACCTACTCTGTGTCCAAAGTATCGCACGGATAATTGTTCTTTATCGAGCCACATAATCTTCTGCTTGTGTTGATCCACCATTTCACGTGTACAACGATCAATCATTTCGGTCGTAAGCACACCATCTTCCGAAGCATATGCCGCCGCCTAAGGCTTTAAATGCTATAACTAGATACCAATATCTGCACTTTTAAATTTAAAATATGAACTACAAGTAATACCCCTCTTATTTGTTCTTTATTTTTTTAATTCCTAATCCGTTTTTCTGCCTAAATTTTAACTGTTGAGTGACCTATCAGTAAATACCTGAAATGATCTGAAATAAGCGTTTTTACAAACCAAACATTCCCACAAACTTGCATGCCGCGGCACAGCATATGCTAATTACAATCATTATATTGATATTTTTATTTTCCAATTTAGCCACCTGCCAGCCGATGACAAGCTTGGAGAGCTGCCGACCACTCATTCCATCAGTCTTCTGCGCAATATCAGTGCATTTTTTAATCCAGTCAAAATTTGCTAACTTCAAGCGCGCCTTTTTGGAACCTGACGTAGCTGGTGCAGCAATGTACTTATCGAAATACTGCAAAATAATACGCTCACGTTCCGCAGGACCTGAAATTTTCTATATTCATTAAAAAAAGAAACTGCTCCCTTTATTTTATGACCTTTTCATCTATATGTGTAAAATCCTATCCTGCACCATATTCATCATTTCTGAAATGTCAACGTTAATCCGCATTCTTGGACATTACTGAATATGAATACATGCATTCTGAGATACCTGCTCACAATCAACAAACGTTTTACCTGAACAACAGTCAAATGTAGATTTTTAAAATATTTCAAACAGTTGACAAAAAATCTAATTTAATTATGAACTTAAAGTTTACGCAATTAAGTTATAGTATTAAAAGCACTAAGAACAAACATATTTCATTTTCCGTGATGATATACAAATAAAGAAACAAAGAAAGTTACTCAGTTACTCTTGAAGAAATAATAAAAATAATGAAATTACGCCCATGTATTTATTTTTGTATTGTTTGCTAAAACACAGTAAAAATAAGATTCCTAACATACCAGGTAACTTGAATTCAACTAATTCATCCAATCGATCATTTACAGCCCAATCAAACTGTTCCGGCTGATTTGAAGCGACGACCAGCATGAATCTTAAGAAGTAATGAATGGAATTTAATGAACCAAAAACTACCAGTAGTCCACTAAGTTTAGGTGCAGTAGTCTAATTCTCAGCAATTTGTATACTTTTAATGGTCAAATCAAAAGGAAACTTACTTTCTAGATTGTTCACCGGTTCTGAACAGAAATGCATTTAACGTGGCGCGCATACTCTCACTTATCTGTTCAGTTGCTCTCTTACGTAAAAAGGCATCAGCTTCATCGATAAAGAGCACCAAACTAAAAGGGAGAAAAGAGAGACACATAAATGCAATCGAAATAAACTTAAACCGTGAACTTGTTTATTTCGTAGTAAATCTAAAAAGTAATCCATGTAGTTCCTAGCTTTAGGCACAGAAGTTTGGAGTACTTTAATTCTTTGTCTATAAGAAAATTTAAGAGTTTCTAATAAGTACTAAAACCATTTCATCCTCATGAATCGGTGACCATAAAATAGTATCTTGGGAATCACGTAAAAATAAATCTTTACCCCTTGCTCGTGTGCTCAGCCCAATCAAAAACCTTGTGTATCGCAGAAACGCCATCATGTCCCAAAGGGGCCACATCACCACCAGTCATGACAGCATAATCCAAACCCGAATGATGAGCTAAACTCTGGAACAAATTAAAATCATAAATACATGAGCTTATTCTACCATTTATTAATAGAACCTAGAAATTATTAATAGAAAATAATGATACCAAACTGAAAACAGCAACCGTCCCAGGAATTTTGAAGATCAGTAGTACTACTATACAAGAGAGCAATGTCTTACTTAGACTCTCCACATCTCCATAAAATTTGATTTGTTTATATTAAAAACATCAAATATATCCATATGTTAATACAATTAGCAAAATGTTTAGAACAAAACGATGGAAATATTTTATGGATGAGTTTTAAGCAACATTTTCCCTTCTCATCTGGTGTAAAAGCATACCTTGGCGAAAAGAGTTTTGCCAGTACCAGGTGGACCGTAAAACAGTACATTCCGGAAAAGACCATGATTCCGTTTTGTGTTCCTTGTAGTTATCGCGATATCTCGCAAGTGTGCTTCTAACTCCGGCTGAAAAAGTTTTTTCCCACTGTTATAAATAAAATTGATAAGGAGAATTTGGAAGTTAAAGTCCATTCTATGGGAAAATACTTACACTTAGAATAACTCCTTTCAAAGGATCATCCAGAGATCGGAAAGCGGTTCTAAATGTTTTGATGGGATGTCTAAACAGTTCTGAAAATGTTATACGTGAAGTATCTCGAACCAAACTCGGTTTTCCCCATCGTGATTCAACCTGACGAGCCACAACTGCTGTGCCTCGTTTAGCACCGTACAAACCAATAGCAAGCGCAGTTAAACTACCAACCTGCACAGAAATCGGAAAGAAATGAATTACTTTTGGAAAGCAGAAAAAACTGTTCACAGGTAAGACAATCAGATGCACATTGTAATATAAACTGGTGCATTTAAACACTTTGATTCTTTTACCGATGTATCAGATATCACTACAGCACTTAACCTCTACGAAGATATTCATAAAACAAAATTAGCAAGAAAATCAAAAATTACTAACAGCTGAGACGATTTTTTTCGGGTCGTTAAAAAATTCGTGCAATCCAGCTCCTAAAACTGCTCCACTGACCCTGCAAATTGCAAAAGTAAACTAATATGATTTATTCACTTTTTTGAGATGGTCCATTCTTCTGTGAAATATTGCAAATATTGCTAAACAAACAAAAAGATTTCCATTGTCCTAAAAGATACATTACAACATACTGGAAAATAGCGTAGAGCACGGCAACTCAAACTATTTCATATTTATCAATACTGCAACCGGATTTAATACCTCAAATGGGAAAAAAACACGCCAAACTTTTTTGAATAAGTAAAAGCTGCAATAAATTATGGATGTTAATTGGAAAAGTAAAGCAACTAAATTAATCAAATAACAATGTACAAATAAATTATAATACCGCTACAAGTAATTGTCAGAGAAAAATCTCGGCCATATGCTCAATTTTTTAAGTTGAGCGTATGACCAAGATACTATGACCGACTTAATTTTTTCAATCGTTGTTTTCCGCCGCTCTTCTTCGGATGCACGCAGCTGTTCCAGATTGATATCCCGGTTTTCACGAGCAGCTTTAGCTCTGGCATGAGTTTCAGCTTCAACCTTTTCTAGATCATATTTATGTTTCAAAGCCAATTCGTGTTCAATGGTTGCTGAAACAGTTGCTTTATGCACTGATAACATTTTTTGGAGTTCACTTACTAAAAGCTAGTCTCTTTCAAAAATATTCATCCTTGCTGACATTTAAATACTCCATTTAAAAACATCCGACGGGACATCAATTTCCAATTGATAACTGAGAGGTAGCAATGACTGAGAAATCCACAAGTAATTTCGAACATTATGTTGGCGTTTAACAAAATCGATTATCGGACCACAATAACTTCAAAAGCTATATAATCTAAATGAATTGGAATTGAATGCAATACATGTTACCTTTTCTCATGGCTTCCTGCTTTCGCACACTTTCTTCTTGTTTCTTCAAACTTTCAGCTTGCATGCGCGCTTTTATTGCTAGCTCCTCTTCTTGCCGTTTGCGTGCCAACTGATCTTGATGTTCTGCTCTCTAAAGTTTTTCTATCCAAAACATACTACGGTCAAATTATACCAAAAATAAAATTCTAAGTCTTTAAAAAAACAGAAAAATTACATTCCAAGTTACCGCATACACTTACAGCACGTGCGTGTTTTGTTTCTTCAACTAAAGTTTTGCGTCTTTCTTCTTCCGCAACACGTATTTGTTCTGACCGAAGTGCTTGTATCTGTGCTTCTGTCTGCTGTAATAAGTCAAAAATCAGTAAAATTTCCTGCAGTCAAGATGTTCGAATCAGTAAACTTTGGTCACATTTTTCTAGCGTCTAAAGCAAACCACATATAAGTTTTAAATATATCTCATGAAATCTTATCGAAGTCTAAGTGTCCGCATACATCGTTTTCTTTGTGAAGTTTCCAAATTATTATTTGTTGAATATACCTTAGCAGCCGCCTCATATTCTTTCTGCTTAGTTAATTCTTGCAATCGTGCCATCTCAAATGCTTCCTTGGCATTTCGAGACCTTTCCAACTGCCGCGCAGCATCAGCCGCACGTTCTAGCGCTGAAGAATCAAATGAATATCCTTTCTGCATCTGTGTTTGTGCTTGTGTACTACTTTCTTTTGATGCATTGTCATTGGGACCTGAAATGAAATCAATCTTGAGCATTTCAAAAAAAATCAAAAAAAGTCAAAATTTCAAGACACTTCGTTATTACTTATCTATGTATCTCCAGGATTTGTGAAGTATCTTGAAACAAGTTCAATGTCACTGACTAGGCAAACATGACATATTCTAACAATCATTCGTTCTACATTACATATATATACTCAAAGTTTTTGGAAGATTTCTGGAATATACAACTCCATAATATAATTATGGGACATGAAGAGGTAAAGCTAAACACTACATAGGGCATTTATATGTTGATTGTTCTCATTGTGTTAACGGAAATAAAAATCCATAACCACCAGTGGAGTTAACTATTCCAAACATTGCAGCTTACCAGATGTCGGGTCAGTAGTAGGTGTCCATGAAACATTTCTCGAAGACCCTTCCTGTGAGCCTAACCCAAGTGCATCGAAGAAACTAGGCATGCTACAGACCTGAAAGTGCAATACCGAATTAACATTAAAACTGTCCAAATTAACATCAAACTATGCTAAAAGTCCAAAACATTGACTTGGCAAGAATTTCCTTCTCCAGAATTTTCTTCCTCTCTTTTCCTTCTTTACTTGTAGATGGGAGACTAATACATTCAAAAAAGAGAATTCAGTGGGGAAAAAAACCTGAATTCAATGAAGAAAAAAACCCAATAGATTCAAGAATAATATTCTATCTTCTTCTTTCTTCCATCATCGGTAATGTGGCAAACAATTTTATGACTATTTACATTAACAAACAATGCCAAATAACAAGGCACAACGAAAAAGCATGCTGAGAAAACAGTGACGAAATCGGGTGAAGCTTCCGCAAGATGTCCTTTAGACAAAAGGTCAAAGTAAAGAAAATATTAATTTTATCATGATTTAATAAAAAAATGTAATAACACAATGAAGACAATCAAGTTTGATTTATTTTTTAAAATACATTCAAAGCAACAAACAACACGCTGCATTCATTCCTCAATTTCTAAACGGTTCATTTTATTTCTTCATATTCTCTTCTCAGGTTACATTTCCTCCCGACGTATCAGTCTATTTACAGAAATGAACATTAATATAGGGATCTTAACTTTGCCAAATAATAAAAACATTAGACTTATTACCACATATAAGCACAGAATTAGAAACTGCAGAAACATTAAAACTGTGTAGTAATGTTCTGTATTACAGCTAACAGGAAATCTTTGTCAGGTGCGATCATTATTTCATGTTTTCTTGTCCGCAGCCTAAGAAATGTGAGGTCGTTTGAGCCATCCAATTCCCGAATAACACTTCTTGATTTGTCGCACAGCTGATGCAGCAGTACGCAATGCTGTTGTGTAGCTTCATCATCCAATGTTGACCGGATTGCTCGACCTATGAAATGATATGAAGCCAAGTCAAGTCATGAGATAAAGTGAACAAAAAAATGGGAGAACACGGAAAAGAGTAGAACAATGAGAAGAAAGACATAAGTTGTACCGGATGAATCCATAACGATAACTCCAACAACGTTTTTCTGGCTCTGAATTCGCTTCAGAGTTTCCTCTACATCTGCCATTGCTTCAGCAGCTGTAAGTCATAGTACTTTTAGCAAATAATACATAGAAAGGAGGGACAAGGAAAAGTTCCATGTGCATGCTTATAAATTCCTTGAATCAAACAAAGAACACTCTTTGAACATCACAATCTTTTCTTCTTTCTTTAGGACCCAACAGAATTGACAGTCCTACTCAAATAAGTAAATACACTCACAAATCCTCCACATCCTAACTCCGTGAAATCCCACTTCGTCTCCTATTTGTACCTCTCTCTTTCTCGTTGCATGCAACTAGCTTGAAATAAGGCACTTTGAAGGGATTGAATCCAATGATAGTGCTTACTTTCCTATTGGAAAAGGGATCGATCCATGAATGGAATGGATGGGCGGCGGAAAGGATTCAGGTTCTGCAAAGATGCAGGATGTCATTTACTACTGTATCGATTTCATTGTTCGATTGTTTGATTCAATGCTTAGATGTGAGAGAGAGAGAGATCTCACAATCGCAGTCCAGTAAAGAAGAACCTCCTGCACCAACCTGATTCACCGCGCAGTCTTTGCTTGTTTTAGTTTTAAAATAAACGTTATCTGTTCGAGCTACAGGTTAAGTTCGGACATTTTCGGACCATTAGGTGAAGCAGTTCGAGAACATGGTGTAGTCGCAGATTCAAAGAAAGCAAAGAATTGATTGTGGAACGATTAAAATTTGATATCTTGGAACGATTAAAATTTGATATCTTCAAGATCTTTCAACGACTGACAGAATGTCTCTTCTAGCATTTATCAGTAACATCTTGAAAGAATTATCGTATGCGAAGCACTTGAAGGATTAGCACTTCGGATAGTCCACTCGAGATCCCATTCCTTCAGTGCTATTTCATTATCCTTTCCATCGTATCCGTACCCTTCCCCCTTCCCACATAACCTTATCAAATTTGTTGCTCTTTTATAATGAGCAACCAAAATTACAACCAAACAACCAAATTATTGTTTGTGCTCCAAAATGATAGCAGCCAAAGGAAGAGTGAAACTGATACGGGGTCAGGTGAGGGGGGACAGAGCTAGGACTCTAGGACTTAGGCGGACTCTCCCTCTTGTCTCATTTACAGTGGGATTTGAGTTTTGCTCCTGCTGCTCCGGAGGAAGGGAATAACTTTCAGCTTCGTAATTTTTAAGGGAATCACTTTTGAATATATCTGCCAAAATTCGTCCTCGACCCTCCGACTTTGGGAAAAGAAAAGGCGATGCTAGCGATATTTGGGAGAGAAGGATCGCTTTAACGCTAAGTAAGTTTCGATGACCGAGAATTCGTTCAAATTTACTTTAAATCACATCCCATAAAATTTTGTTATGTTTCTGCAGTTGAAGGAGACTGAGTTAAGAACGTAGTTAAGAACGTATTTTGGAATTACTGGAAAATTGTCAGTTACGTTTGAGCTACTGTTCATAGTTTTTGCTGTCCGATTCATTTTTTGTTTTTAATTTTTTCACTGTGACGATTGAGACGTAATCGAGAGAGGCTCCGGGAGTTTTTTTTGCATTTTCTCTTTTCCCTTTTTTCAAGATGTTTTATAGATATATTTGAGAAACTATAAATAACAGGGACGGCATTGCCATTTATTGTTTTTCTTCATAATGCATCCTATCTTCAAAACTTCTAAATTTCAACTAAATACATTTTTGTTTCCGGCAAAGTCTGAGTAATATCTACAACTAATAGACAGGTGCGTTAAACATCGAAATATTCCATGAGGTTATATGGTGTGCCTGGTTGCATAAACAGATTTTATCGTATTTTCGATTCTATATGCTAGTGAATCTTCATTCCTCTCCACCATTACCGGACGAACAGATCCTACTGGAAGCTCACGAACCATTCCGTGATATTTGATCTATATTGGATTACACATCATAGTTTTTCTTCATTGCTTACTTTTTCTGGAAATATGATTTACCTTACTTTGACATCGTTTATCCACTGTAATTCGCAGGAAGTAAAGGTTTCCACTATAGGTTTGGTAAATATGCTTGGTTGGAGACTTCATCGGATTGTCGTAATAATTCCCAGTTGCTGTTGATTTTATTCAGGTTATTCAAAAGTAACGTCGACAACTAACGGTGATTTAAGTGTGGCTGTATCACGGTTGAAATTGCTCCTTTTCATGTCTGAGATACATCATGTCATGGAGGAAATGCTCGGCAATGAATGACCGGTAAATTTTAATGATTTGATAACAGTGCATACAGTTGATCGGTAATCAACCTGATTTCGAAATAGTCTTCCTCCTTTCTTTACTGTTCGTGTTTTCATCATTTGATAACATTATGTGATCGAGTTTCGCATAGTTATGACAACTCCATTCTGTATCGATGAGATACCAATTCATAATTTGACTCCACTACCCTCATGGTCTACCAGTTATTCCCCACTCTTTACCCTTGCGTTTTTATACGCCTTTCCTTTTCTTGCTTTTAGAACACTCCTTGAAATACAATTACGCTATTCCCGGAAATCAGAATTTCCAAAAATTCTGACTACTAAGTGATGAATGCTATAACATCGATAATTCGCTGCAGCTACTCTGACGCGTAAAAGTCGAAACTGTGGCTATCAGATCGAATAATGTTTAGATCAGAATAAAGGAATAACTTTGTGTCGAAATATTGCTAACATTTACGATGTCACTTCACTTCGCTTATCGTACTTGCACTTTTTTATCCGAGAGAGGTTTTTTCTTTTCATTATATTTTTTGAATTTTTTTCGGTCACTATGGCTACTAACTATCAAGAAATATCCACTTCAGGTGAGATCTGTAAGTGAAACTAACCCTAAGCCTTCACAAACTCAATTACAATATGTCTCATGTTTTCTGCTTTATTTTGTCCATTTTGTTAGTATGTACAATGCAAAAAATTATAATGATAGAGACTAAAAATTATGGAATATTGAAAAGTATCTACATCTAAAATGTTTAAGATTGAAGACAACTGTTTAAGATTGAACGCAATCTGTTCTTTTTTAATTCAAAGCACTGAGAAGTAGGGATTATCGATACACAAATAATGGAAAAGAGTCCGGAATCCAAGCTGTTCGTTTTTTAAGACCGTAACTCGAGAATTTTTATCTAAACGGATACTCTACTCGTTTTCTCAATAAAGATTATTGAAAAATTATCAAGCATGTGTCACATTGTTCTTATATGAAGCAAAGTAGTAACAGTATGAGGTGCTCAGACGACATAATTAAACCAGCCAATACCAAACTGAAAAAACCCACTGACACTACATTTCCTGTTACATGTAACCGACAAAACAGTCTCATAACATCGCGTAAGCATCAAGCAATTTCAGCATAATTTCTGGTGCCGCGGCACCCTCCTGCAAATCAAGATTGTCACATCATTCGATATGCAGCTCACTCTCTTCCATTTCTTTCTCGATGTACTACGAGCGGTTTAGTCGGGTTCAACGAACTCGCACTCTTTCCTTTGTCACTTTTCATAGATGACTCCACCCTTTCCTCCTTCCAGTCCCACAAAGCAACAACAACAGTTATAGCAGTCGTATTAGTAATAATGGTGATTGCAGCGGTAGCAACAACTCCAGCAGCCTTGCAAACTTCCATCTGTCAGTGCCTCATCGTTCAATAGCACATCGTCCCGATCGATCTTGTCTGATGCAACGGATACACAATTCATTCGGTTTCGTTCCGCAATGGTTTCGCTTCCCCACCTTGTTGTTGTTGTATATCTTCTGACTGCAACTAGCCTATTTTATAGATTTGTTGTCATTCTTTTATTCCAAACATTTTCAAATTTCCAATGTTTGTTGTCTCCTTCCTCTCTTTAGCAGATGTAAAAATCATATAGATTCTTCTTCCCCTATATTTGTAAACGTGAAAAGTGGAAATTCTCTGATGCCTGTTTAAATGACCCTTTATATTTGTGAAGGAACACTTATCCCTTTACCGCACTGCTTCAACTGATCTGATCATTTCCCTCATTTGTCTGATCAACATATTTATCTGTTCACTCATCTTTGCAGTGTAGTAATATAATATTGGGGTAGGTTGAAAACAGCTACTGATCGACAGAATGAGCCTTAAACTTCACATCACATGATATATAGTATCGTTGGAGATCACTGGGAGAATGATCGAGTAAGATGTAATGATGATAACTGGAACTGCTTCAGCAATTTTGCATTGCAGCATTTGTTTTGCGTAATTGAAAGGGATGCGGAACATTTAAGCGTTCGATTTCTTATTAGGGAATGAAGGAGAGGAAGGAGGATACTGATGGAATATATTCTTCTTTGAGTCGTTGAGGGAAGGGGAATTATTGACATTCTAGTGTGGTAGTAGATAGAGTAGTAAATGTGCTTGTGTTCCTATGCTAGTTAATACAGTGTACTACAAGGGATTTGAAGGGATTCCTTAGAGCCATTATACCACTAACATATTGGTCTTCATATTAAAGTCCCTAATGGGAAGACGTGATCGTCGGTCTGTGCAGTAAGTGGAATCATTCGGCAGCAGTGGATGAGATCTGGCAATTGTAATGAGGTTTTCAGAAGAAAAAGTAGAGTTTCTAATCTTCCATTCCGTTGTTTTGAATCAGAGAAGAATATGCTATGTATTGGTCCCATGTTAGGAAAAAGAACTATTCGATCTAATGTAAAAATTTCGGAAGAATTTTCAATTCGTATCGAATTGGAGAAGGTAAAAGACATCGAACCCAGCAATCGCACTGGCAACACTCGCTCACCCTCCCTATAGTTGTTTTAGGATGGCATTCGAAGGAAGCGAGCGCAAACCACATCCTGTTCGGCGCCATCCGATTGATGGATTGCTATTTTCTGGGCTTTTCATCTCTCATCTGCGCCTCTTCCTATTTCTCCCTTGTCAAACCCTGTTATGAGTCAGTTCAGTCTCTCGCCTATCGTCCTCTCTAATTATTTCCCGAAATCAATGCTTTCTTTTCCCGTTCTCTTCTATCACCAGAAATTCATAATGTAGAAAAAATATCGATAGTTGGGGCGCAGTTCCCAAACAGCAGAGATTTTAAAGGCTGATTAGACAGGCAGACATGATATTTTGCAAGTACTACACCCATAAAATGGTGCTATGTGAAGTGCATTATTAATCAAAAAATGGAAATGGGTCTGAAATAGGGGCTTAGAGGCTTCCAATTTTTATTTATAGTCCATGGCTTGTCCTCTTAGGAAGCAATCAATGGTAGGAGGAAGTATAAGCATTCACACTGCCCAATACATTAGCAAGAACAATACTGAACTGCAATAATAACGCAGTGAAACAGTTTATAAGATTGGTAAGAATGATGAAGTGATATCACTGGTACTCTGGATTTAAAGTCCGAAGTGCGGGATTATGAGGAAGTTGTCACAATATTGACAAAATCACTAATGGGGAACCAAAGATTTACGAAAATGTGTGAAGATAGCTGCGGTGGACTGCAGAATAATCACAAAATAACCATCTGTCACAACTATACCATGAAATAGGTATTACGAATATTATGGTATCATAAGATCCATAGGAATTCTATGAGTATGTCACGGTGCTTAATAAGATAGACGCTTGAAGAAAGGTTCCACAACTCCCAGTTCTATATAATTCATGGCCATAATGACTTTTCCATTTTTTGGTTTCAGCCTGCAAACAGCCGATCTGATGAGACGTTTTGAAGACAAACTGTTTAGATATATACAAGTTGACCTTGTAGTCTTCTGTTTTTGAGTGGAAATGTTTCAACAAAAAACGACGGTTATTCATAACCGATTCAGACCGTTTCCCATAAGCAGGGTTTAAACGATATGTTTAAAACTTAATCAGTGGAGAATCTTCATTACACAAACCGCTGGATGCAATAGAGTTTAGGGCGTGAATTACGTCAAATACTGCTATGCTGGATTGAAAACTTCGACAGCCCTCACTTAAGCGACCTATTTCGTTAAATGAAATAGAGTTAGACAGGGTAGAGTATACTGTATGTGAAGCGACGAGCGGGAAATGAATTGGAACAAAAAGTAACTCTTCATCCTTACTCTCTCCATTTTCATTTTCACTTTACATTTGATTCAACTAATCGTTCATTACGAACGGGCCATGGAGTGAACTTGCCACATCCTCTCTTAGGCTAGTCAAGTCAAATTAAGTCTCTTTTGACTGAATAATCACAGTGACCTTCCTTACTTTTCTTAAAAACTATGTGGGAGTAACAGAAGTACAACCGGCAATCTGTGCACATCTTTCCCGTTCTTCATGATGGGAAGAAAAATCTCATTAGTGCGGGGAGAGGGATGCTATATATGTACTTTTTGTATTTTACATTTTGTTCGAAGCTACTGAAGCATCAACGATCATGTTGTTTTGAATTTTCTTGCAACTTTTGGAAGACAAGTTTTACAAGTATTTCAACATCATAGTAACTTGTTTGTTTTCTCCTTCCCACTGCTTCAATGCTGCACGTTGAATTTATTTACTAACAACTGTCATTTTTAAATTCCTTTGTAATGATTGGTTTTTGATATGGGGCGCATTTTTTGTTAAATTTGAATCATCCTTCCTGTTCCAGCGATGATCAGATTTTCTATTTCATCCCTCATATATTCATTTCTCATATTGACGACTAATTGATTTTGAAAAAATATTAGTTGAAGCTGTCCAGCCAGTGCTAATGCATGATAAGGATGCGAAGATTTTTCTGTCGGGCTTGCACTAATCAGTATGCTCCAGTTGTTGAGACTGAAGTATATATTTAGACGTGACATTTTCACCCTCTTTGTCAAATCCTTTGATGGGTGAATAGTTGCTTGTAAACTTCATGATTGCTTCAAATTCATTTTTACATACTTTATTCCAGTTCTGGTTCAGAAAACGGAGGTCACACATTTTGATTTTCTTGTATTTCTTTACAAACAATTCGGAAATATTGTGATGCGATTTCAATTGAATATGTTCATGAGCTTGTCCGGCAGATAAACAAGATGTCGAATTTCAGTAATCAGATTATGGAATTAGACAATTTCGTTTTTTAATCTTGGATTATTAGCGTGGAAATTAGCCGGAGCTGAAGAGCTACGAAATTCAGTAGAATGCACGGTCCTAAAAAGAATCAAAATGTGTTATTCGAGAATAAAATTCATTTTCTGAACCACAACTGGAATATGTCTGGAGATCAAACACCAGTCCAGGCATCTTTCATTTCAGATTTAGGTGTGCGCTTGTTTTGTTTCCCGCTTATTACTTAATTCTTAATTAGACTTTGTTTTAAACACATTCTTCAATAGTAGTTTGAAAATTCCTTGATTAATTCTGGAAGGTGGCTGCGGGAAATTTCCGCATATTCGGGAAATTTTGTTTGAAAATAAAGTAATAGGATTTTTATGGATGTGACAGATGAGCCAAATCTTTTGGCTTGTGTTTAATACCAATTAGAAAACTTTTGCTGCTATTACTAACAAGAAAAAAACCTAGATAAGTATTGGACTAACATTCACAACTGCATATCTCAATAAAATTATACTAGGGCAACTTGATGATCTTCGACCAGGTGCCCATTTTGCAACTGGTATAAAGGCATGTGCATAAGGAAGCTAACGATAATAAGCAGAAACTTGTTTATAACTATATTAGGTACCGTTTTAACCACTTTAAACCATCTATCATCAACTTTCAATACTGTGTTCACTGTAATATGAAATATTCTATGATCACTATGATGAAGTAATTCTCATAGGCAATTTGCACTGTCTTAAATTTTCGGTTTTTCGGGTTATTTATATATTAGCAAGATTTACATTTCACGAATTTTTCAGCTTTCATTTCCTATATACATTTAATATTTCCTCACATTTAAGGATGCATTTTTATCGCTGAAAACATGCTGCGTGCGTTTATGCTAATTTCCATCTACATATGAACGTTTTAGTCCTCTTGAGACTCATATGTAACATATCTTCCTCCTCTATAAATATTCAATTAGTAAGAAATATACACACTAGTATTCTCCTTTAGCATGTTTGCATCTAATTCTATGGTCCCTTTGCCATTATTTCACTCTTCTTTTTTGCATTCGAATCGAATTTTTGCTGATCGCTAGCAATTTCCGAATTATAATATCTTGGTTTCTTCTTTGAATTTAAATTATTTTTCAGCTGCACCGTCACTCATTTGTAGCAAATTGAAATTATGGCCAATGAATATGAAACGAATTACGTAAGTCTTCTTATCTGACACTTACTTTATAGGTGAGTGATTTAAAAATAAAAAGAAAAGCAAAATGCTACCTTTATACTGCAGATATCTAAATGTTTTAGATTTTGGCTACCATTACTAATTCATAATCTAAAATTTGTGTTGGCAGTCGCTTCTCAAAATTTGAGTCAAAGATTTCATTATAACTGAGATTCGATTTGCGATTCAACGGTTGTTTAATTGGGTAACATACTAAGAGCTATTTCTACATTCTATACAGAGGACATCTTTGAATTGGTTAATATGAAATCAAGAAGCTAATTGTGGGCAGTCTTTTCCATGTAATTTCACAAATCCATTTCCGTAGCTAGAAGTTTGTCGTGAAATATCATTAAGTAAATTTAGGAAAGAGCTTTACAATTTCAAAAAACAAATTAAAAAATCTGCTTGAATGAGATAAATGCTCTCGCTTTCCTCCATTCAAGAGGATCTATGACTGGATAGCTATGCGAGGGAAATCGAACATTCTTTGGCTCAGACTCGAAAATCATATTATGCCGGCGTGCTTCCCGCTTTATGAACTTTGGAAGTTGAGTACCGCTTATGGTACTTGCTTAAGCATGCTAATGCTAAT